GGTTAAGTAAGGGTTAAGTGAAATAAAGCTACCTGCAGTAAGCTTAATCATTCCACTGACTTAGGAGTAAGTCTAGTGCTGTCTGTACTGTCTTCATTATATGTAACACCAACTTAAGAGTAAATTCACTGTAGAAATATGCAGTATATAGAGTTTGGTCCAAACTACAAAACACAACTTTCCAAAGGTTATCGAGAATTTATTGCTTAAATGATTTTATGTGGGTTAACTTGGGGAATGCAATGGGAACAATTTAATCTTTGGCTACATATTGCTTTTTTATGCAATACCACTGATGAAAATGGCAAAATTCACTTGAATAAGTGATTTATCAAAGAGCTACATGGGCTGAAGAGAGTAGCCATGCTAGAGATCTATGTCTACATTAGCGAGTCATGCAATAGGAGGAGATTTGTTGAGGACAACAGTTTGTACTGACAGTTTACACTATTGGGGTACAAATTTTGGACTCGCTCTCATCTGGTATCAGGGCCTGAATGCTTTATCCTGCCTGCAGCATAGCTGGCGCCCTCGTGGAAGAAGTTTTCTGGTTCAACTTCACCTAAAAGCAGTCCAATTTCCATGGTGCAGGATTGCTTGGTTATGTGAATCAAAGCATGAGAAGTGAGGCTAGCTGAGAGATCCATGTCAAGAGATCTCTCCTGATTTTCTCTAAGATGCCAGTGTAAACTTAACCATAGACTTCCAGATTTAGAAGTGTACATTATTCCTGCTGATGCTAAATATGTATTTAAATAGTTATTTGAGTTAAAGAATTACCCTAATGAAATCAATTACACAGACTGCTGTTAGATTATTGGTTTATGTGAATCACAGGACTACAGTTGATGTCTAAGGTAATGACAGGTCACCATTCTGTTTAGTTGATAGGTATAACTAGGAAAATCATCTTTTTTGGATTAAATGTAAGCTAATATCATGTTTTTTAATTACTTTCAAGTAAAAAGAGCAGTAATATTTGTGTGCTACTTCCTTGTTTCACAGAGGTATTCATCAGGATCTGCATTAGGTGTTATAAAAGAAAACTAAACATCAATCAATATTAATATAGGATTAGAAAGTATCACTGCTGTTTTGGAAAAAATCTCCATATTACTAAAGGGTAATGATTCCTAAATATCATAACTCAGCATTTAAAAAATACTGTTTAAACCTGGAACAAAATAAATACAAAGACAAGTACATTACCCCACCTGCAGATGTCCCATGGTGTATGATCACTGAACAAGAAACCATCACACAATGCAAAGAAAATTTTTTCTTTCATTTTTGCCTGCCAGTTACCAAACCTTCCTTTGTTAAGGAAACTGACAGAGAACAACTGATCTGTTTTAGAAAGCATTTCAGCTGGAGTTAAAGCTGAGCACCTCTAATAAAACCAGGCTGGACAAAATACAAATATTCACACCTAGACCAATGGCTCTCTTAACAGCATTTACCAATCAAACTGCTTTTAAGAATGTTCTTGCAAGAACACTGAAAACTCCTGTGTGAAGGATGGGTACACTGTGGGGACACTGGAGAATTCAGAGCACTTTGCAACTAGAAAACAGGGAGAAGTGACACTCAGTTCTTGTACCTTGGTTAAAATGCAGCATCTGGCCATTTGCACCACACTCCCAAAACACTTTCCTGACAAACAAGACGTTCCTGTCAACTTGTTGGGTGGGCTGCCTTCTGACCACTCCCAAGAAGAAGAAAAGATTGATATTGGGGAGGAAATGGGAAGAGATCCAAAGATTAATAAAGACACCAACACGTGATATCTTATTTTTCAGGAAAGTCTTCTGAAAAATTATTAAATATCAGATATTCATGTGGCAGGCGAGTGGGTAATGGCATCACTGAACCTGTTGGTTCTAGGTTAAAATTACGATGGAGGAGTGGAATTAAATCTTTTGCTACTGGCATTTTTACCTCATTTAGTGTGAACAAGGATTCTTTTACATGTGTTTTATTACATCTCTTTTTATATAGTACACTAAAACATGCCTTGTTTACTTACAGTTTTCTGCCCTTCTTTCCCCCTTTGTTGTGTTTGTATTTCTTGCTTGATCTGTGCTGGCTACTTAGAAAAAAAAAGGCAAAAGGCATATTTGTTGAATTATTTTGCTTCTAATATATATTTTTATGATCAAAATATATATTTTCTATCCAAGTTATTAAAAATTATTTGAAACAAAAAGCCAATCAGTTAAACCCTGGACATATTTGCCAGTCTGACTATCTGCAATAGAGAGTCAAGAAAACAACTGTCGTTTTTACTGGACTGTGGTTTGGAGATAAGGTTGAAGCAGTTAATGAATAAATTGAAGGTAAACCATGAAGGAAACAGAAGCTCAGTCAACATGAAGGGGAAGAGGTCTACTTTTAAAAGAACTCATTGTTTTTCAAGGAATACAAATACATTGCCCAGTATTACCTGATAGGAAATTACTCATGGAAGCCAATTATCATTTAGATTTATGAGTGTTATAGGCAAAAATACAATTGTCTTTACACATTTTGGGTTACATAATAGTGTGCTAAAAGGCTCTTCATGTCCATTGCTCTAGTGTTAGATCAGATATCACCTCTCTAGCATCACTAATGTTTGAATTTTGAGACCAATTGTGAAGTCAGGACACAGTGCTTTAGATTGCTGCATTAGCACAGAGGCTTCTATAATCTATACAATGTAGCATTAAAAGGCCTTTTGTGTATTCTTTAAAAAAGTGTATTTTATATAAATTCGGTAGTGCAAAAACTTCCTACAACTTGCTACATTCTTTACATGACATATTTCCCCTGTAAACAGCTTTCCTGTAGGAACTTCCTTTGCAGTTTGTGCGATATATTATTCCCCCCTACCCTCTATGCCCCACCCAGATTTGGATTTATGTGATTATTACTCAAAAGCTCTTCTAATTACTCTGTGGAATTTTTTTAAATATGTGCATTTGGTTTCATCATTGAAAAGGAATTAAAACTTCGATTCACAATTCTGCAGTTAGTAAAAAATATAAAAAATAGATCAATTGCAAAGCTATCTCCCTGAACATTCTTCATTTTCCAGTGATGCAAGGAGTCAGACCCCTTTCAGGTGCACAAAGGAGTCACTTCTTCCTAAGACGCCTTAGGCTGTTTTGAAACTGCCCAGGAGGCATTAGAGACTGACTCCAGAACTCAGACACATTCTCCCCTTACTGTGGTGAATGGGTAATAAGTCTGAAATGGCTTCAAATTTGTAGAAAACCAGAAAAATATACTTGTGTAGTTTTGCATAATTTGCTGCATATCAACGCATGATGAATGAAAGGATCCCGGCCTGCACTTCTAATACCTGCTCTACTGGATAGAAAGCTAGGTCCAGTCTGCAACTGCTCAAAAAGATGTTTTAATCAGGAATTATACAAGTTTGGTATTCAGAGGTGGATCTTGTATATGCAGTCAAGACTGGAAAAACCACATTTCTAAACCTGTGCTTCTGGAAATAGTTTTCAGCATAGACAAAAGTAGATAACAAAATTATACCAAAAGCACTTCTAAAGCTTAATCATTTTGCTTCCAGTATTTCAAAAAAATAAAGCATCTGTTAATAAAGTGAATTGCATTTCTTTCAAAATAAATGTGCTTCTCTGAAAACATTTAAAATACAGCAGCAAATAAGGGCCTGATCTTTCATCAGATTTATATAATTAAAGCTCCAGTTGATTTTCAGCAAGAGAGAGAGACTATTGTTTTTCTCATTTAGATTTCAGTCAGTACCTTTTCCCACCAGACTCCCATTGGCTTCAGGGGAAAATCATTTGCACAAGAATCGAGGCCTTGACTTTACTCCTTTGAAATTTGTAGTGATTGTAATGGGCCGGAATCAGGTTTGCATGAGCTTTAGCTCAGGAGATCTTTAGGAATGAAATCTCTGTTCCTGCAGTCGGTTCCCTATGGCTGGACTCCTCCCTTTCCATCAAGTGTCATAGGTCTAAGGGGCTTTTCCAAAGTGTAAGGGTCACCTGGGAGAAAAAGCACACAGAAGAAACATGACAGACCTCAGTCTTGCCAGAACAACATTATTGTCATGAATGGGAATTTTCTGTGGATCCAGAGCATGTGACCAGGTCCCATTTGGTCTCAATCAGGACTTCAATAGTTCACTAGGATGAAAAGGCAGATCAAACAGGCCCATGTGATTTCATAAAACTGCACATAGAAAATACAAACCAACAATTCAGGCATATAAAAATTGACTGGCATTTAGTTTTAGTCACCAAAAATATCTAGAAACTAAAAAATAAATGTAGAAGAGTAATGACTATAAAATATTAAAGAACTAAGTTTGGGGACAGTGAGACACAACATGATTGAAAAGTGTTACGCAGAATACAATATAAATACATAAAACTGAATGCAGCAACAAGTTGACATGAACTGCAATTAAAGACAAAAAAATAATTTTTATTTTGAGAATTAATGACCAGACATTGTTTGAAAAAAAAAAAAGACGTATTCTCAGGTATTGAAATGACTGAAGAGACACCTCAATATTATCTTGTTACAGAAATAAGAAATCTGATGGAAATATAGAAAACTTTTTTTAAAAAAACCCATCTAAATGATTGTGCTGTGCTCATTGTTTGGCCCAGCCATCAGGATCAATATTTTGGGGCTCTTCAAACTTGACTCTTTTCTATGTGCCAGACTTGATTAAGGTCTGTGGCATTGGCCCAGCCATTTAAGCAAAGGGCCATGTTGTAATAAAAATGGTTATTCCTTTGCCCTAAATGCATTAGGTGCCTGGTTGTTACATATTCAAGTGACATAAAAAGACTCAAGGAAAAATTAACCTACTAACCTAGGATAAGTAGAAGCCTGCTGTTCCAAACCATGCATTGATTGGTCTGTTTTCCCTACCAAAAAAAAACCCACAAAAAACCACCCGAAAAACCAAAAAAAAAAAAAAAAACCAAAAAAAAACCCCCCAAACAAAACAAAGGGAACATTTTCTAGGGCATGTCTGTTTAATTGCTTACATTTGCTTATGATTAGAATTTGTGAACTGAATAAACTTTCTATCATTTAGGGAATTAAAGCACTCTAGAAGCTTTAAAAAATATTTTGTAGCATAAGAAGCTATGGATTCTAGTTAAAATAAAGATAGCTTTTTCGAGACAGTGGTTAGATGGGTACTTTGTAATGAAGGCTTTGGTTCAGCATCTTTCTTTTACAAAGCTGGAGAAATCAGAGAAATGAAAGATGCTTAGGTAGTTGTCAGTGGAATGACATATTTCTTTATTTAAGTAGAATGGAAATTCCTGTACTCCATTTCAGAACAGCTATGGAAGGATGGGTTGAGGCAAAGTTGGTGAGTCAAGTGATATCTTCTGTCAGTCCAAATGATTGAACTGAAAAAACACAAACAAACTTTGGGGTATGGAAGACCTGAGGCAAATCACATGTAGTGAAGGCTTTTCTTCTCCAGCCATATGATTTATGATAACAAAAGGTATCACTTTCCCCTACAAACTATGTCTCTTATGTCCTTACAGCTTAACAGCTTCAACAACATTGCCTTTACTGAAGTATGTGCACTGCATGGAGAACAAAAGGTAAAAGATTGAAGATCAAGTAGAAGCAAATAGTGTTAAATCAAAGGAAAACTAAGAGTTTGGGAAATATTTTTTTAATACCAAGTTATATTCTATGAGGTTGAAAACTTTTGGATATATCTGAATAGCCATTTGGCACTGTTTATTGCCACAGAAATAACTATGATTTCTAAATTTTAAAATGGAACTTTTTTTTTTCTCAGTTATGAAATGTTGGCAATTCTCTATAAAAATATCAAATGTTTCAAGTTCTGGTCATTAAATCTTTGCTTTCTCTCACAGGATCATTAATTAAACTGACAAATGCAATAACTGAAGTTCTGCAAGTAAAAAAAAAAAAAAACCCATCATGATTTATAACACAGATAAACTAAAATACTGTAGTTCTTAATTAACAGATATACTCATGAGCTTTTTAACAGAAAGCAAGATACGTGAGATGCTTTAAGTAGAAGTTGCAATTTTGCAACATAAGTCTGTACAAAACCTCCAGGCAGCACGCTGTGAAGGAAGTACCTGTGTCCCAGGAAATGCTTTTTCCATAAATCCTTGTTAACAGTAGCTTTCCCCCCAACCCCAAACTATTTACAAGTATATGCATTTTGCAAGCTCAAAGCACCTTGTTTCACATCCTTATGAATGCATGCATTGACATTTCATCCTTTCATGTGCAAATTCTAAAATTCATTGTAACTGAGGGAAAAAAGAAAGTTTAAGAGTTCAAAACCTGTCTACAATCATAAGTGAAAGGATCAAAAATGTCAGATGTTGCAGACCACTGGCTCCTAATAAAGCTCTCTTTATTGTATTCACCATTCTTGAGTAATTTTTTCCCCTGTTTTTTCAGTTTGTTACAAAAGCAGTCTTTTTCTTTTAAATTAAACAGTATTTAAACTAAACAACTCTTCATGCCATGCAAAAATAACATTTTATGCACTTTTGTTGAGGCTTTCCATGTTTTAGTTCATAGGCATTACTAACTGTGTTTTAAGAAAAGATATTTTTATTGCTTCTGTAACTAGTCACATGCTAGTTTCACGTGTAGGACAATAACCAGTTTCTCCTGGACTTGAATGAATTTCTGGAGCAAATAAATGGTTTTCCATTTTGTGACCTTCTTGATTATTGTCTGGCTTTACCTCACCCACAGCATGGTAAATGTCTTGAGTACAGTTGTGGCTCATGCTTTTGGGTGAAGAGCTGACCTGTGGCTCCCCTGGTAAATTGTTGCCATCACTGTGTTTATCCCCACAGCAATTTGTCTTGATATCCTGTTTTTTCTCGTGTTTCATACCGTGTAACTCCATAAACTCTTCTTCCTCTCCAGTGTCTATTTCAGTGAAGCTCCTCCTCTCTTTTGAAGGGAAAGTGAAAATTTTTTGTTTGGGAAAGAGAGGGGATGATTTTTTAGCGGGTCCCTGACAAAGTGCAGGTGCGTCAGCACCAAGTACGGGCCGTTCACCCTGGGGGGAATTTTCTTCTAGGAGAATGGTGCTGATGTGCTGAGGGGTGGCCTGTGTGAAATCTGCTCCTGCTGTCACTGGCAGTGGCCTTGCGGTGCTTGGCGGAGTTTGTGGAGCGCCACCTCTATTGTCTTTAAAATTAACTTTAAGGGATCTAGATTTTAATGGGTTGCTACCTTTCAGGGAGCTTTTGGGGCTTTCCATGGCAGTGTCAAAATGAAAATGACCATGTGAAACAGTTTGGGACCCACTGCCATCAGTGATACCAGCTCTGTTGATTGGATTATAGTCAAAGGTGACATCAGTTGGAGAAAATCCTCTGTCTTTTGCAAATGGTATAAACTGAGAACTTCTTGCTCTTTGGTTTTCTTCAAGGTTAACAGCATCAGCTGGAAATCTCATTTGCAAGTGAGAGCCAGGAAACAGAGAGAGTGGAGACCTCTCTGTTTCCGTGAAGTCAGTTGCACAGCTGGCAAAACTGTCGATACTGGATGTGCTTCTCATGTCCATTACGATGTCCGCAGGCCCCGTTGGCAACGGATCCCTCTGACCTATAACTTCCTCCATTTCTATTTCTTCTTCATAACTGGGTGGCTTTGCTGACTGGTCTTGGTAACCAGCATTAAGATTAGGCTGAGACTGGGTTTTGGTAATTTCATTATACAGCATCTCCAATTTTTGGGCACTGAGGTGCTGTGGGCTGGAGGATGCTGCAGCATTATTTAATTGCTCATGGGAGTCTTGTTGACTAACTTCTTGGTACTTGTTCTCATAAGATTTGTTTGAGCTTGTTTCAGACATTGTCCTTCTGGCCCATTTCCACCGGCTTGGGGACAGGTGGCTATTATCAGATGTCTCCTTTGGGCTGAGTGGTTCTCCAAGCTTTCCTGAATCTACTGCTACATCTATCATTTCCATACTGCGAGCAAAGGCATCTTTCAGATTCATGGAGACAATACTGCCGTTTCTTTTAGCTCGCTCAAGTGCTTCTCTCCTCTTAATTGCCTTCTCCTGTCTCTTCTGCTCCTTATAAAACTCTGAGAAATTGTTCACAATAATTGGTATAGGCAGGGCAATGACCAGTACTCCAGCAATACAGCAGAGTCCTCCAACTATTTTACCTAATAAGGTCTTAGGATAAATGTCACCATATCCTACCGTAGTCATAGTGATTGTTGCCCACCAGAATGACGCAGGAATACTTGTAAATTTTGTAGCATCCTCATCCTTTTCAGCAAAGAATACAAGACTTGAAAATATCATTATTCCCATGGCTAAAAATAATATCAACAAGCCCAATTCATTGTAACTCCGCCTGAGTGTAAAGCCTAAAGACTGAAGACCCGTTGAATGTCTGGCGAGCTTAAGAATCCTTAGGATCCTCATAATTCGAAATATCTGAACGACACGTCTGACGTTTTGGAACTGCAGGACGCTTTTATTCGACTCTGTGAGGAAAATGGTGACATAGTACGGCAAGATAGCCAGTAAGTCAATGACATTTAATGGGCCTTTGAAGAACTTCCATTTATTTGGTGAGGACAGAAAACGCAAAAGATACTCCATGGTAAACCAAGCAATACACACAGCTTCAACGTGTGCTAGCTGAGGGTTGTCATTTGGCTGCCCAAATTCATCCATTTCTTGAAGTTCTGGCAACGTGTTAAGAGACAAAGCAATAGTGGACAGGACGATGAACAGAATGGACACAATGGCCAAAATCTGTAAAACAAAATAAAAATGTTTTGGTTAGACTGATACAAGTGTGCTTGTCAGGGTTTGATTAAATCCTTTCAAATACACATGTCAAATGAACACAGAGTGGTGGAAGCTGTTTTCGCTGATGTATTCATTATTTTGTTTTATTGTTCTGAATTTTGCATAGAGAAAACATTAGACTCATCTTAAACATGGTCAAAAACCTGATTGTGTTACTGCCTGCAGTAAGCCAATTCATTTCAGAAAGCAGGCCATAACTGGTCTTACCATTTTTAAATTACAATAGGAGGTGATGTTTATTAGTATAAGTCACCAAGTGAAAGATATATCATCCCTGCTAATATGCAGAACATTTTTAATTTTTTGCATTAATTGTAATTATGTAAAAGTTTACATAGTGTGGAGAATTGATTGGGGAATACTATGTGTAAGATGGTAATTCAGTACTACATAATGCACACTTCTCTAGACAGGCATACATTTACCAGCTGAAAAGTCAAGAAGAAAAAATTAAGAATAAACAGGAAGCACTATTCAGGAGACTAGTCCTGCTGAATTCTCATGTCTGGACAAATTTCAGATGATACAAGAATGGAAGGTAATGGTCCTGAATTAGGTTGAGAGTTTTTAAAATTAAGATTTTAAAAACTAAGTAGTATGAAGGTGAACTGAGTTTCTCATAATTATTAAAATGTGTAAGGAGACAAAGGCTTCCAAGAAATAAAGTTTTACTTTCTGTCTAAGGAGATAGGTTTTTATAATATATTTCGTCACTCACTTTCACAGAGTCTTAGAATGACAGAACCATAGAAACATTAGTGTCAAAAAAGATCTCCAAGACCCTCAAGTCCAATGTTTGACTGAGCACCACCATGCCAACTAAACCACAGCTCTAAGTGCCACATCACTTTCTTGAATGCTTCAAGACCTACTGACTCCTTAGGCAGCCATTCAAATGCCTGATAAGCCTTTGAGTGAAGAAATTCTTCCTGATATTCAACCTGAACCTCCCCTGGCACAGCTTGAGGCCATATCCTTTCATCCTGCCACTCGTTGCCTGGGAGAACAGGCTCTCCTCCACATGGACACAGCCTCCTTTCAGGCAGTTGTAGAGTGTAATAAATTCTCTCCTGAGCCTCCTTTTATCCAGGCTGAACAACTCCAGCTCCCTCACCTGCTCACCATAACACTTGCGAGCTGCTCTGTGCTCCAGACCCTGCCAGCTGGATGCAGAACCCTTCACCACCACTCCCTGGACCCAGCATCCAGCCAGTCCTGAACCCAGTGAAGAGTGCCCCTGTCCAAGCTGTGGGCTGCCAGTTTTGGACAATGCTGTGGGAGATGGTATCAAAGGCTTTACTGGAGGTAGACAGCATCCACAGCCTTTCCCTCAGCCACTAGGCAGGTCTCCTGGTCACAGAAAAAGATCAGGCTGGTCAGACAGGACCTAAACCCATTGTGGCTGAGCCTGATCCTCTGGTTGTCCTGTTCATGGTGGGTGATTGCACTTAAGATAATCTGTCCCATAACCTTCCCCAGCATTGAGGTCAGCTGAGAGGCCTCTAGTTCCCCGGACCATTCCTCTGAACCTTCTTGTAGATGTGTGCCACATTGGCCAACCTCCAATCGTCTGTTCTTGAGCTCTACACAGTTGAAACACTCCCTAAAGTGTAGACCCCTCTGCCACACCTCTCCTTCCTCATCTGTTCCATCTGAAGGGCTTATAACCATCCATTGCCACTCTCCATTCTTGTGAGTGCTCCCCTGGTGCCAACTACACCACAGCTCTCCTGCTGCTCGATGGCTTCCAGCTCCCCAAACTGTGTTCATCCATGCATGTGCACTTCAGGTGGGCTGCTCATTTCACTCCCAGCACCAGCATGCTCCCCCCAGGCTCATCTCTAGTCAGCCTGGTCCTATTCTCTTCCCCCTTCAAACCTAGTTTAAAGCCCTCTCAATCAGTACTGCTACAATACTTTTCCCCCTTTTTTCCCCCACCTGTCTCCTGCAGGCCTGGTTCTGTAAAAATGGCCCTATGATGGAAAAAAGACACTCTGATAAAGTTCAGACATCTCTGTACCTCACAGCCTTCCACTCTGCCTGGAATAGCTGGTCATTGCCTTTTTCAGAACCAATATTATCAGAAAAATATTAATATCAAAGAACCTCATGGCTTTACCAGAAAGTTTATTTATTTACACTCTAAGGAATATAAGCAACTTTGAGACAGTGAGCAAAGTGTTAAAATGATATAAAAATTATTAAAACATTTGGAAAAAAGATATTATTTTGGTTGGAAGTCCTAATTAAATCCAGGGTTTTATTAAAAATACTAAAATAAATCATTTTCTGTTTAAAAGATCAGTTTAAGCTCATTCACAAAAGCATTTACTTTCATGTCTCAGAAATGGAACTGTTAAATCCATTTGGTGATGTTCCAAGGATGCATTAGGTCTGACAAAATTGCTGGAACACCCAAGAAGAATGAAATGAAGCTAAGAAGAATGCAAGTGTGAAGAGTGTATGCAGACAGACTGGTCACAGTGGTGATAGAGGCTCTAGAGATAGAAAGGCCACCTCACTGTAGCTTTGAGAAAAACAGCAATAAACTTGTTTAATCTATGGGTTACCAAGTGGATATTCAGTTCTTTAAGCACAAACAGAAATTGCTCATGGTGTGGTGTGTATTTGGCATAATGTTGTACTTAGGTACTATCTTTGGCCTTCTTCAGCTACTAATGGTACAGAACAGGCAGGCAGGTATCACCTTTCATATTCTAAAGTATTCAAGCATATTTATTTGAATTTTTCTCTACCAGTGCTGCTTCTGTCCTTTCTTTTGTTTAGTTTTTTTTTTCCTTTTCCCTAACTATTTTTATTGGAGACATAAGATACCTTCATTTCTTCTGCCAAATGAGTTATGGACCATCTGTCTTCATCCTTTGTACAGCCAATTCAGAACACATCCTTAGGTTAACCCATCCTATTTAGAAAGGCTATACATTCATTTAAACCTTCTGCTACCAACATCAGCAAAAGAAGCCAATCTTAGTAAAGAATGAGAGCAATAACAGTGCATATGTAGGCAGGGCTGATTTATGAAATTTGTAGCTAGGACGGAGGCAGACTAAAGACAACACTATAAGAGGGCAACAACTACCTTTCAAACTGTGGAAGTTGCCTGTATCAGATTTCTGTATTAAAGTTGGAAACTTGAATAAGGTGTGCTGGGTTACCCACTTCACCTAAATGACTGTGAAACAGCTAATGCAGGCTTGACTCCTCTAAAATACTCAGTAACATAATTATACTTTTTGAATTTATGGAACAAATGAACAAGGCACAGGTCTGAACAGTTGAGCTTCCAGTTTCTGTCAAGCTGATGGAGCCTCATTGGGGCCAGAATCAGAATGCAAATAACAGGATTAGTAAAAGCTGCATAATACCAGGACCAAATTACTTGACATGCATTGTTCTTAAAAAAAAAATAATAGTAAGAATGTATCTGCCCAACTGTCATAAAACTGATTTTAATTAGGAACCACTGGCATTTCAGTCTGTCATAAGGGATTTATTTTATGCCTAAATGTCTACCAGCATACAAAAGATCCTAGAAAAGAGGTGAGTTAGTGAATAGCACCCTCTCTTGCACTATGTGACATTGCTAAAACTCCATGCATTTTGGGTGTTTTATTGAAAACAAGCATCCATCTGTTTGTTCCAGCCATTCCTTCATGTACTGCTAACACAAGCCTGAACTCCCCCAGCTCTTTTAATATAATATGCAGTACAGCAAGCCTGGAACCTTAAGTGATTTATACATATAATCTATAAGCATGAGTCTGTTCTTAGTGAAAAAATTTACAGCAAAGTAAAGTAGTTTAGTTTCTTCTAATGTAAGAATCTCAAGCTTTTATTTGTTTGGGACTTTGTTGTGTAATTAAAGCAGTGCATCATTCCACACACAGTATGTTTTAATTATTGCAATTGATTAAATTTCACAACTCATTAGGCAAAAAAATGCCAGGGGAAAACTTGGAAGAGAAAGAGTAGCTATGAGAAAAAGAAGAAAAGAAGAACTCCCTATTCTGAGTCTACATAAAGAATACTTTGCAGATATTACTATGCTGGTAAATTCTCATAGAACAGATGCAGATTGTATTAACAGAAGCACAGAATTTATAAGAAAGACCTGTAGCAAACTGCTAGGCTGCTTATGCTGATACAGAAAAGTAAAGAAACCACCCCTGACTGAATTTTTCCCAGCAGAGTTTCCTGTTTATCATGTAATATTTTTTAAACTATGTTCTGGACTGAAATGCCTGGAAAATTTGCACACTCCAAGTCATTAATCTATGACCACAGTTCTTGACATAATATTTTTAACCTGAATTTCAGAATATACTCTGTTAAATGACATATTCTGGCAGGTTATGTCATTTAGCTATGGTACTACAAATGCATATAAAAATCCAGATCCTCTTAATCTTTAAAAACGTTTCCTTGTCAATGACATTTTTTTCTAAAAGAATGGACAGATTTTGAGTTTTTTTCCTATGGGCTGGATATGAGGCATTTGAATCTGTTGATGCAATGAATAGAAAAACATTCCCTGGGTTAATGATGCAGTCTTAACAGCCTCTGCCAGATGGTGTTATTTTACTTTTTGGGTGCAAGGAATGGTAGCAATCTCCTGAAAATTTAGTTGTTTCCCAGTATTAAATTGCCACTAAAAAATGGCTTTTTTTTCCCTGTGCACCCCCTCATTGCTTATTACTGCCAGCAGTGTGAGGAATTCTGCATAAAATGAGCATGCAACTGAGGCAGAAAATAAAGGTGAAATAGAATAGCCTTCAAATTTTGCCTTGCTATTCTGCAACAACTGATACGATACGTGAAATTATATGCTGCATGAAAAGACTTCTGCTATAACTGACAAGCCATTGTAATTTTTATGTGCAGCAGAGAAAAAGTATGCATCAGGTACACATTAAAATATAGCT